ACCGAGGTCCCCCTCTTTTCTTGGTATATATAGGGTCAACGGGGCAACCCTGGGTTTGTTAGGGTGTGCGAGGAAGTGCGAGCGTTCTGAATTCCACAACCCTACATTCCCCTAAAGACAGACAGGAGTCGGTCTGCAGAGGATTGAGTGGCATCACGCTGAACTTGTGATCCCTTGGTTGTTCCCTGCTGGCAATACCATTTTTGGTTCAGTTCAGGGTTAGCCCATGCCACGCTTCAAGGGCCTGAGCTGCAGTATGTGCAATATCCGTATGCTCAGTTCCCCAACGTAACACGGAAGCATCCCAGTCCATGCGGACAACACAGCTCACCGACCTCCTGCACTGTCGGGGGGGCTTTTGACCTCCGTATTTCACCCCCTCTTCCAGCTACTTTCTGGGCCTTACTGGGAAGACTGCTTCTACCTCTGTAGTTCTTTATCTTTACTGCTGTCTGACAAGCCTCCGATGCCCTAGCTCACCAGTCGTCGACCGCTGGCTCTACAACCAGTTCTCCAGTACGCAGGAAACATAAACTTCTTCGTCTTTTTCTAAGGAGTCTAAGCATAAAACGTCTCACTCCTCACAGAAGGTGGATGCTTCAGCCGACATCAAGTCATCGGTCCGCATGCTCTTTGAGAAGCTCTCTTCTATAGCCAGCCGTCTAAAGCCCAATCCTGCTCCCGCGGCGACGGCTCCAGATCCGGACCCTTTGCCGGTGAAACGTGATCCACATCCGGATCGGCATCCGCATCCAAACCTGCATTCATCGGCGATCCGATCTTCATATAATGGTTTCGTCCCTTCGACTTACCCAGGTTCTGGCGCAGACTACAGCTCTCTCACCTCCTGCTCCGGCCCCATGCCACCCAATAAGACATAATGACGTTCCTCCTTCCTCAGATCAACTCCGGATGGAACGGGATACGTCCTCTGAAGATCAGGATATCTCCTCTGCAGCCAACCTTAACCCTCCTGAGGCATGGCTATGTTTTCTTCAGAAGGATATGATCCTCATATTAGGCCAGCCTTCTAATCAGTCTGCGGATGAGGCCTCTTAACATGCTTCCTTCAAGCGCCACCCTGCTAGGTTGGAGGCATCAATGCCAATTTTACCCAAACTTCCACTTGACCGTTCATACATTGAGATGTTAACCCTAACACTCCTCAGTCCTCCAACAGGTGAAGGATTGAGGAGGGTTAGGGTTAAAGTTCTCGCTGTTGCCAAATGACATCCATACCTGCGCAGGTCCTCGACCTATTTCCAGTTTGCTAGGGAGGACTTTGACAACTTCCTCTCTGTCCCTGAGATTCCAACGGAGGCTGAAGATAAACTTCCCTCTGACGCTCACAAGCCTACAGGAAAGTCTCCATTTAAAGAAAAGGACAATCGTTTCGTTGAGTCTACTCTTGCTAAACTTGACAAAGCCTCACAACATGGCCTTCGCTGCACCGTGTGAGAAAGAGCGTGTGACAGAGATTCACCAGTTACTCTGGACCTGGCAGCTGTCGCACTTTGAGGGCTCGATGAGAACGTCAACTCTATCTTCGAGCAGTTTGTTCAGATCTCCGTTTTAGCCACTTCTGCACCCAGATACAACACTTTAGACTCTATGAATATTCCCTATGAAGGAGTCAAGTCAAGACTTCAGGAACTTCCTCTTTACAGCAAAGACCTTTTTGTGGGGAAATTCATTGAGATGATGGAGTCGGAAGTTAAGCGCATTGACACAAAACATAAACCTAGCTTCCTTGATCTCCCTTTGGTGGCTCCACCTTGCCAATCCTGTCCTGATAGTTGCCGGGCTTGACCCTTCAGACCTCCATGTCAGGGCAGGTATGGTTCCTTTCGCCCCTTTCGTCAACCCGTTACCAGACGAATCGTGGCCGTCCATCCTCCTCTCAACTTACCAAACCACCCAGAGGAGCTTCAAGGGAGGAACTACCAAGTCGCACTACCCCGACCTGGGGGTAGGCGTTGCTTACTATTGAGATTTGCCTCTGCTTGCCAATCCCAGACCCGTTGGGCGGATGACTTCAACTCTTCGCAGGGACTTCAGAGAAAGTCACATTGGACAGCTGGGTGCTCGCGACCATTCGCTATGGGTACGCCCTCGAATTCACGAGCACCTCTCTGTCTGTAGTTATCCTCCATCCGACTTCAGTTCCTACCGAAACAATTGCCCTGTGTTCCACCTACAATGAATTTTGGATAGAACGAACGTTTCTACATGGATTTCATGATAATGAGAGTCGACTGCACATGTGTATGTTGAAATGCAGTTTTACCTTCAAGAAGCATTATCAGCTGCGAATTTTGTGAAGCCGGTGTTCAGTTTAGAAAATTCACAGCACAAATTCGGCACCAACTTACGTAAAAAAATAACGTTCATGTTCGCGCCGATTATTTGAGAGTTGGCAAATCTTGAACATAATTTGCCCCCTGGCAAATTTTATAGCAGCAAATGCTTTTTAACATTATTATTGGTGTGACCCTGCATTAAAGGAACTTGTATCACGGTCCATTACTCTACCTTTACATCATGAACTTTGAGTTGTACTTCACCTGAATGCAATGTGAAGTAAAATAACGTCACATATACAAAACCTTCAGTGCAAAATTGTGCCCGTATCGTGCACATGAACAGATCACCTGAATGCTAATGATTTTACAAACATGCATGATGCATGTCGACGGACAAGGTGTGTCCTGGATGGTCAGTCATGTTCACATGACTTGGACTCTTCCATTTTCTTCCAGGGGAGGGATGAAACCCTATTTTTATATAAACAACGTCGGGAAAGCTCATAACGAATAAAATATTTTAAATCACTTTACACAGAAAGTAATTATTACTATAGGCAAAAAAATCTTTTTATACATTAAAAATTAAATACAAAAAATGATAAATGATCCCTATTTTAGTGAACGAATTCATTCGGGCACCAAGCAATTTACAATTCAGCCTTACGATGGCGGAGGAATTGGGGGGAACAATTTGGAATCACACATCACAAAATTAAACACTGATTTGTAAAGTAAAATTTCTGACAAATTAAGAAGACTCTATAACAATGTGTACTTTCATTGGGCATGGTGCATTGCCGGAGTGTGGCTGCTCAGAACAGGCGATCGCGAGTGTAGCTTGGGCACACGAGGCACGGTGCTGCATGTTCTGCAGAGCTTGGTGGGTACTGTGTAGTTGTGGGTACGTACACGTACGTTTGTTTTAAAAAGTTCATGGACTTCCCCTGGGAATAATGGTCAGGCCTGACTGGTAAGCCCCCTAATACCGGCAGTTCTCTCCAAGATCGAAAGGGAACGCTGCCGAATCCTTCTCATCGCCCCCTTCTGGCCACACCAGCTGTGGTTCCCGCGTCTGACCAGACTTCTCGTCTGGGTACCATTGATCGTTCTGACAGACCGGATCTGCTACATCAACCAAAGTTAGGCGTGCTTCACCCTCATCCGACGTCACTACACATGACCTGTTGGCTATTAACAAACAGTCCTTCAGATCAGCAGGACTTTCTGATAAAGCTGCCAAAATGGCCTCGAAGAGTCAATGCCAGTCTACAAGCAACATCTATGACTCCAGATTACGACCTTTTACTTCGTGGTGTTCAGAGCGAGGTTTTTCTCCGACCAAAGTTTGTTTCCAATAATACTGCTCTTACACATCTACTCCGGGAGATGTTTCTTGAGCGTCCCTCAACTAAAAGACTAATTCCTTCATGGGACTTGTCAGCTGTCCTCCAACTGCTTGCTGGTCCCCCCTTTGAGCCTCTCACAGCTACACATCGTTGATCAACTTATCAGTGAACCTGGCATTTCTACTGGCAGTTACTACCTCACAGCTCGACAGTGAACTGAAGGCATTGTCCATCACAGATGGCCACATCCATTTTTGTACCAGACATTACCAAACACGCTGGGACTCCCGATGACAAACCATGGTGCCCAGTGTGGACTCTTAAATGGTACTTAGCCAAAACCAGAAAACTCAGAGGTACAACTTCACAGCTTTTCATCACCACAATAAAACCTCACCGAGCTGCAACGAGACACACTATAGCCAGATGGGCAGTTTCGGCTGTCAAGTTTGCCAACCCAGATTGGCCGAACTCTATGGACAATAAAACATTACCCCTCATCAGGGCTCATGATAACCGAGCAGTTTCCACATCATGGGCCTACTTCAGGGGCGTACCGATGGAGGAAATATGCAAGGCAGCATGCTGGAAGACCCCATCTACTTTCACCACATTCTACCTCACCGATGTTCTACAAAAGGACTCCGCACATGGCAAAGCGGTCTTGACATTGGCCACATCGATGCCGAAGGGTTCCTCATCAAAGCAGGTGACCACTGGAACGACACAACTCCATTATTTGGTGAGCCTGCAATAAAGTTTGGACAATTTGCGTCCTTGCCGCATCCCCGTCCAAGGGCTCGATGCTACTCTGCATATTTAGTGACTGTTTGGGGTAGGTTGAAAGCAGAAAACTCCTCCCCCAGAGAAATGTGGGTGAGGTCTGCTATTGTATACCTACCCCAAACACTAGGCTCCCTTCCATCTTTCCCCACTTTTGGCTTGGACGGTTTTAATACCGGAAAAGAAGGATGAACATGGTGGCTATTCCACTTTGCATCATGGGACTAGAGGGCGCACTACGGTTGATCAGAAGTTTTAGCGAATTGAATCATACGCAAAGGAATGCGCATATTTAGCGACTGTTTGGGGTAGGTATTCAGTAGCAGACCTCAGCCACATTTCTGTGGTTGAGGATTTTCGTTCCTAATTATGAAATTGATTTGAAAAAAGAACTCAACACAGCCAAAATCAGTTTTAAATTTATCAGCGATTCAGCAGGGAGAATGTATAATGATCAACGTGTGTTTGTTCCATTGAAGTAGGAGGTCATAGAATATTACAGTTACCATAATTTCTTTTCTAGACAAGGTTTATTTATTGACACATGTTGTGTTGATCTTGACAGGAGTTATGTGGCAGAGCTATCCCTCTACATCAAGTCATGCCGACGCAGTGAGTATCCATTTGTTCCACAGGAACTTTCACTCTGAAGCATGCTACATTCTAATAGTGGGAACTAGGAATGCTTTGCTTATGTTCCCTGCTGGGAAGTGCTTTTCTAGAATTGAACATGGGCTGTGCATGCGCATTGGTAGATATTCCCTTTTAGTATCACCCGGTGGTGATCATGACATCATGATACACATGATCTGTGTGGAGGTAATCTTTGAAGTGATCAGCTGTCACCCTGATTTTTCAGTGAATGTTGTTGTGTATGAATCCATCCATTCCAAGTTAGCCATATCCTGCCATGGAGCCCGGTTTTGGGTACCTTGGGTTTGTATGCATAGCCGGGGTGCCTGAAATTGGACAAAAGAGCTGTGGGCCTTGTAAGGCTTGGCTTCAAAGTTGACCGTTCGTGAAGTCAGCGAACGTTCGTGAACTAAGTTAATCCTTAGTTACCAGTAGAGGAGGATCTTAGCAGGTTCATTTGGATTGCATGACAATGGCGTTTGTTATGGTAATTTGATGTTAAGTAGGCTACTGTTGGCGAGTTCGCGAAGTGTGCGAAGCCAGATTCAATAGCTATACATGTATACCAGCACTGCACTTAAAGAATTTTCCTGTGTGTCAGCACTTTGTAAAAGCGAAGAATATAGTTATTATATTGGATGCTTTGTTCCGAGTATTTCCCCAAAGGGTTTTTTTTGTGTGTGTATGTTTTTAAAGGTTACAAACTTGCTGTAACGGGAATTGTGTACGTTATTACGTGTACTGTTGATGTTGAGATCAAATGAAAGCCAAAACTCATAAAACAAAGGGCAAGAACTTCACCATTACTTTTCACAATATGAAATGGTAACACATCACCTCAAATCAGCACCCGATACTTTTTGTCATTTTTTTTCAGGAATGAAAATATGACCAAACTCCTAAAACCAGTGTGAGGAATTTTTTCATTCACAAGTAAAAGAAGTATTCTTTTACACAAGATGAAATAGTGCAACAAGTCAGAAAACGCACAAAATAAATGCCCAGGAAAATTGAAAATAAGTGTTCAAACTATCCCTCAGTGGATGGTGTGGTATTCCCTGAAGCATGGGTTGATGCAGAGGGGCTGGTGGCACGAGTCGCACTCAAAGTTGGTCTGCTTTCGTCGCCCCTGGGAAAAGCAGAGGACACATCGGACTCTTCCCATACAGTGGCAGATTGCCTTGGCTAATGGCCAGCAAGTCCCAGCAGCTCAGTCTTTTATTCAAGGATTATACAAGTTCTGTCACCTTGGCTTGAGTAAAGGCCTCAGGAACCCATTATTGCCTACTTCCCTTGGCTGCTGGCCTTAACTTTGGACTGAGGGCAACAAACCAAAAAAAAAAAGCCCAGCAGCTATATTAGTTTTTTAAATTAAAGTTCTGATTTCGAGCTCCCCGGCTCCATGTACAAAGCCTATGTGCCTGATACCGGGTCCCCCGGCGCAAAGTGGTTAAGGGAGTTCCATCAATTGACGTTTTTAATACAGGCAGCATTTTGGAAATCCTCCAATAAATTCATATCCTGCTAACTTTGGGATGTCTTCCAATCCTGAGGGCTGTTTCTGAAGAACAATTTTGCTGACAGCAAGAAATGTACATGTACATGTAGCTTATTGAGCCTCACATAACACCCCTCACTAGTCAGAAGACACGGTTATGGTAAGGCCATGCTTATCTCTTCTAGCTTACCCATATTAACGTACTTGTGATCATTGATCCGTATTCATAATGACCAGTATATTGATGAACCTTGCTCAACCCAGTCCCACAATGTACAGTAGCATCTCACACTGACCTCCTGTTGTCCAGTGGTATTCTGCATAGATTGTGGCTCTATGAGTAATATGAGTGCTGTAGACTCCCCGTCCCCCCCCAGAACTGTGGCAAGGGTCTACTAGTGAATACATATCCATAGCCCAACCCTCCCTCCTCCCCACAGGGAGACTTGATGCTAAATCCTGCCATAGTTCTCGAGAGAAAGAGAAGATAAGATCGCAGGCATGCTACAAGGCATGGTGGGTAGCCTGTTGTGTGAACTCTTAGCGGATGTATTGTGCCCTCTTGGGAAATATGCATAGGTAGTGGCTCTACAGGTGAGTATTCGCTAGTTGACCTTTCCCACATGTCTGGGTGGAGTAGTATTGCAAAGTATCTTGTGAATGGGAGAAGTCAACCTTAGGTCTGAGTCAATTCGAATAATTGACTACTTGAATATTCAATTGTACTGGCTGGCAGATTGTCATTGAACAAACCGTGTACTGGTACAAAGTACATTGCAATAATGCACACAATTGTACATTATAATCACTATAATAGCTTGTCACTTTTAGGGCTATCTTCAGACCTTAGTTAAGAGATTTATCTTCCGTCTAGATTGGGTCCTCTCGCTTACCATGTGATACATGGACATTGTTCGCCAGTTTGCCGTCATGATTACGTGACTAGTGTTGTGCATAGTGGTGTGAATTGTCCATAATTCTTACGAATTTTTGACTACAGAAATTTTTACGTAAAGGAGATTAAGCCAAGTTTTATCACCTTTTTGTGGAAATTTTCATGCCATTCAATCAGCACAAAAGAAGTTGACCCCCGAAAAACTTTGAACCTATTTTTGAGAGACATATAATCAGCAGCAAAACTTTTTTTTTCTTGGCCTTAGGTGTCCATGAGGGATTCCATGCAAACTAATACGCCTTTTCCCACAATGGCGTTGTAAACCACAAAACCAAAAGAAAACTGCTCGTGCATAGATGTGGAACAGTGGAAAAGACTGGTTTGTTCAAAACAACAACATACAGGTCAACCGTACATTGTGTTTTTTGTTAACCAGTCCTTTAGTACTGTGTTATAGTGCTACTAACTTAAAATTAATGACATTACATCGGTAACAATATCAAAAATCTATAATGCATCATAATTTGCATTGTAATATTAATCTACTGATGTTAAGGTGGGTAACATGTTTAAGGTATAATTTGGAAAGAAGAATGTAAGACAGTTTAGGCACTTCCATTCAGATGTCCAAATCCGTTAGGTGGCCATTCTGACACACAGCCATACATCAAAATCATTGGAAATGTAGAATCTTGTAAACTTCTTTTTACTTTGTGACTCAAAAGGTATTTATGAAAGCGCTTGGCCAGTCATAGGATCATAACCAGGATTAGGATAAGTATCATTTTCTGGATCAAGAAGAGTGGACGCTGATAATACCGGAGCCAAAGGTGATGGACATTATCAGTGTCCGTTTTCCTGACTGGTCTTATACATGTATGTTTAAGACTGGCCAAGCACTTACAAGTATTTATTCTGATGAAAACTTTGTTCATGAAGAGTGCACAGCAATGTTACATTTATTTGCACGGATGTGTACATGCTTTTTATCTGAAAAATTTATGTGTTCCATTCAATGCATGTTCTTATTTTCTCCACCTAAATATTCTTTGGTTGGTGGGGATGTTGCATAACTATATGTGTATAATCTGTGAACCTCATAGTGCGTAAGCACAGGATCTTTATGAACTAAGTGATAGTCAGCCCACGCTAAGTGTATTGTAAGATCAAGATGTATATTGAAATATTGAATTTGTAGTCTGACTTCTCTTTTATAACTCTCTAAGATCATTCCTTCTACGTGAATTTCTTTCCCAGCCATCCATGCTAGGGAGCAAGGGTCCAACAAGAAAACAGCATCACTGTCTTGTGCCCTCTCTCTTGTCAGACAGCTGTATCATATGGGAGAGATTGAAGCTTTCACAGGACAAACCAAGAAACGAAAGACTGAAAATGTAGGTTATTTCATGTTTTTTTTAAATTAATTATCTTGTAGGTGGCATGTTGCCCAACTAACATGCACAATACCTGAGGAAAATAGTTGGTTCTGTTGTCCAGTTGTTGCATTTTCTTCATGTTCACATTTAACAACAGAGTGCCCCTTTTAACATGCATACCTTTGCAGATGTGGATGTGTAAAAAGGTTTGTTTGTAATGTGCATGAGAACTGTATTGTTAATAAAGCAATATTTGTTTGCTGCCCCAACTTATCAATTTTGTATCATATTAGACTTGGAAAGGAAAAAAACACTTCTTTAAATAGAGCTGTGTGACAACTTTTTTGATTGTAATATTAACCCTGCAAATTCCCAAGGGTTGAAGCAGGGACCCCAATTTCGTAATTATTTTAATTAAAAAAAAGGTAATCCTTGCCTGAGACCTGCACTATTAACCACTTGCTGCCAGGTGCTTTTTTTAACCGTTAATCTTCAAAAATTCATATCTTTTTTTCTGAATGCCTAAACCCCATAAAATGGGTGTCCCGTGGCGAGTCTAGCCCTCACAAGCAACCTCCATTGACCCTTCGGTTTTGCGGCCATGCCGCCAGCTCTGTATAGAGTCTCCATTGTGTGCGTTACATAAGGGCTCGTTTGTTCCGGGCCTTGACCCAGTGTGTTGCTATGCCGCCGTGTTGCTATGCGGAGCGATTGACGGTCAAGACCTCAGCGTGTAACANCAAATGATGGCCTAAACTTTTTAACTGAAAGCCCCCAACTTTTTAAGAAACGCCCAGCAACTTTTTTTTTATAGTAAAGTTCCAATTTCGGAGTCCCCAGCCCCAAATATAAGGCCTATGGCTCCGGTACCGGAGCCCCCAGCATGAAGTGGTTAATATGTGCAGACACCCTTAGTGTTTGACCCCGGGTTATGCTGATGGGAGCCTGACAGTCTTGGCTGGAGGCCAGTGGCCCATCCATTCACAAAAGAAGGTCCCTTGAGGGTAAACCATGGGTGAACAGTGTAGGGCTTGATGATGACTGGACAAAGGCCCATGTAATCAACATATCTGTTTCCTGTCAAGGACCAATCAGGTGTGAAAGGGTCCCTGGATTGATCTTTGAAACTTGTTTACTTTCTATTTGGGGCGGGGCTCAGCGCAGTGCAATACATTGCGTCCCTGGATGGACCCGGGTTAACGGATAAGTCCCTGTTCAAAGTGCAGTGAAAGAAATTCAAAGAAAACAATTTTTTAGACTGAAGCTTGGAGGAGTGGTCATTTTTAGCTGGTTAAGCCGCCCGTGGTAATCTTTTAAATTGAAAATCATTATAGCACTCTTCCCTCCCCCCGTCATTCAGATCTTAAGAAGAATGGTCCATCCAGACCTGCCAACTAATACCATTTAGCCGTATTTCCTATGAGAGATTCTTGAAAATATGATCGTACGTTTTTGCCCCCATAAAATATAGGTGTTGACTATATTGACATTTCTGGAAAAAAAATTGTAGTTCAACGGTTTGCGAGTGCACGCTATATTGGAAATAAACAGCCTCGAACCATTGCACATGTACATATGTACATGTATGTGTGTACAGGGTATGCATGTGCATGTACAAACCTGGTGTGTAGACGGCATCCGGCAACCACCCGACATTATGTTGTGATTTTCGGCCCATGAAATATCAATATTCATGTTGCATTAGTAGGACTCCTAGTACGTGGGAGGAAGTAGTTACAAACAGCCTCCAGTAATTTGTCTAGCACCACCATAGATATATGCGGCTTGAAATGAGGTTATTAATTTTATCTGCTTTCACTGCAATAGATGGCCTCGTGGCAACTGGTGTGGGGCAACGGAAATTGTGTCGTACATTACTGCACGGCTTTTACAGGTTCTGTGTGCGTCTTTTTTTTACGAGATTTCAAACAAGTTTTGGACATAGACTCATCAACTGTCAGTGCAACACCTGTTAGAGGGTACAATTTGGATGTAATTTTGACAAGATCAACCCTCAAGTTAAGCATTTTGGGGAAATAGAAAAAAGGATAGAGACATTTTACAGCCGGCCAGTGAGCAGGGGATAAAATCCATGCCAGGAAATTCCAAAAGCCTGGACTTAAAATTTAGATTTCAAGATTTCACATTTTGAAAATGTGATCAATTCAGGTAGGAATAGGGCCATTTCACTCAAATTATGCTAATTTTTTTGCAAAATATGATTTTTTTAATGAAAAATACGACTTTTGAATTTTCAGAATACAGTTTTGTGATTCAAGAGGTTGGCAGGTCTGTTTAGAATATGTTTTAGAGGTTTGGTCTATAAATAAATATAGAAATAGTTACACCTAAATGAAAAGCTTGAGTCTCGGTCTTCTCCGGCCGTTTCTTGTTATAGATATTTACAAAAATAAATACTAAGAAAATGTGGCCTTCTGCGCGGATATTCACCATAAGGAGCAAACACTGCCAAGCGGTATCCTACCCCCACATCCAGACACAAGTAGAACAAAATAAAATGGCTGCTAGTTGAATTCAGTAGTAGACCAGTGGCTTCTTGAAGCTTTGCTGCACAGTGAAGGAGTGAGTGGCATGCTGCAAGCACTGAAGCTTTTTATACTGCTTTACTCAATGGAGTGCCTTGCCGTGTCCATTGAATTTAATTATAAAGGCTGCAAATCTCGACAGTGATGGGATTATCAGGGCAGGAGTGTAGAAAGCTGTTCCGGAATTCACTACAATATAATGTATGCATTGATGGGGGAAGGGGTCGAAGCCACTCTGTATGACGTGAAAGTGTAAGGGGAGGGAGTCCAAAAATGGGGTGACACTTCTCTAAAATGCAATATATAAAATGGGTCATTCCATGCCAATTCAAACACCCTTCAGTGTAATTTGATTTGGATTTACCTGAAAAATTTCTAAAACTGTCATTACTCACTTTAAAATTTGTCACTGTTTTCCTGAAGAGCCACACAAATAGATTTTGTAGAAAAACTGGTTTTTGAGTCATTACTCCAGAAGCTTTTATTTCAAAAGTGCAAAAGTACCAATATGGAATGAGTTTATGCAGTAAAAAACCACAAATGATTGTTTGAGATGTCAACATTTGCCTCAACCAAGTGATTAAAATGAACACGGTGGTTAATTAGCCAAAATAGTAAAGATGTGCATCTGTTTGTGAAATCAAAAATCCACAGTCTACTGCCTGCAACCTACACAGATTACCAATACATATGCATTATTTCCCAGTCCATTATTTCATTCACTAAATTCTCGATCACCCAGCAGTGTGCCCTCACTCGCTCGACTCCCGCAGAAGCAGCTGCCATTATATTGCTCTTTTTCTTAGCGCCATTAGTAAGAGACGTGTTTGTGTTAAGCTCCGATATTTTCGGGATTTTTTTCCTTCGCTGTGCTTTGTTTTGGTGTCATTTCTCAATGATCCCTTTATTCTTTCTAACATTTGTTATTCTTGTTCTGCTGAATGGTAAGGCTGTTCCTTTATTGCTTTTGAAGCAAATTTTTCATTTTGTTTCATTTCAGTTTTGCTTAGGTTAGCAGTCTGCCCCTTTTACCCTTGCCCAGACTTCCCTAGTTGGGTCTTCTCTCAGCGTTTCTCTGCCTGTCAGCATTGTATTTGTTGCATATATTCCAATTTCAAAATAAATTTGAAGAACATCGTCTTGTTACTCTGTTATTTATTCGGTTTCTTTGTGTACATATTCTGATTTCCGTAATAATTTGATGAAGATTGTATTTCTGACCCACTTTATACGGTCTCCTCACCTGTTCCCCTTCGTGACTATGTTCAAGTTCTACGGGACACTCCCATGGCCTCGCTCCCTCCTGGTCTTTCTTTTCAGCCGCTCAGGTCAGGGTTTCCTCTGGAAGGAAACACAAGTTGACTGAGCACTTGTCTTCCCCAGGTCGCTCTTCCCCAAAGAAGAAGGAAACTAAGCATTTGAAAGGCACTGGCTCTCCCTCTACAAAGGAAACACTGCGTTCCTTTCCGAATCCCCATCAGAACTAGTTTGGCACAACCCTCTGCCGCCTCCGACTGCTACATACCCGGATCTGGAACCTTATTCTCCACCCCCGGTGCATTCCGATGGACTTTCTGCTCTGTTCCAGGCCTTCTCAGCCTGCATCTACTGAGAGCTGTTCCCTTGATCCTCCTACTTGTCCTAACCCATACTTGTATATTTCTGATTCAGGTCAGTCGTTTGACGAGGATGAGCCATATTTGGCGAATGATCTCTCTCATTCTGATTCCCGCCTCCGTTTACTTCAGCATGAAATGATACATGTTCTGGGACTGTGCCCTTACTCCTCCACCCCCTTGTTCAAACATCGTTTGCCTGGGCAGACTTCTGTTTCGCCTGTCTTCCCTGAGCTCCCGCTTGACAGTGCCTGCATAGATGCTGTGGATGATCTAGCCAAGGCCAAGTGCTTGCACCCTTGTGTCTGCTGTCTACATTATTTCAAGTTTTCTTCAGGGGACTATGATACCTTTCTGTACTGGAGATGCCTCAGATGGCCAAGGATAAGATGTTTTTGCACAGAGGCAAATCTGGCCATGTTTTCCCTGATTGAAACCTTCAATGGATGGACGTAGCTCTCAAGAATATTGACCTGACTGCCGGCACGGGTATTCGCTGCATGTCTTTTCTCCTCCTTGCTGAATTTTTATCTCGTTCCTGTGAGGAAGATTCAGGTATTTCTCCCAAGTTTGTCACAATGACGTTCCATTGTTTTGATGACTCCTTGATCATGGGGCTTGAGCAATTTACCCATGTTTCTCTCCACGTAGGGAATCTGCTATTCAGGCTCTAAATCTTCCCCACTTGTCAGTTAATTGCACTCTTGAGGGTCTTTTTCTCTGTTCACCGAGGACCTTTTTGCGGGCCAGTTTTTAGTATCCTGGAAAATGAGGTCAAATGAATCAACAGCACTCGGACAATTTCCTTTTGCCAGCCAACTGAGTGTCATACGATTCCCGTGAGACCGCCAAGCCC